CACTGCTTAAGATCACATTTACGTATTTCTTCCCTCAGAGTTATTTTGTGAGACGCATACCAGAACTACAAGGAACTAATGTGGGGGGCATGAGAAGAACATGAGCTGGGATTTTAGGCCTGTAAACCCGTTCTGAACTTGAGTCCTCGCGCTGTCCAGGGCCGCGGTGGCTGTGCCGCCGCGTGGAGACACGGTGTACTGCCGCTTGGTGCTCTGGCACAGCTCAGCCCCAAGCAGCGGCCCCTCTCGGAGCCGGGCATCTGTCACAGTTCTTGCTCTTTACAAAAGTGAATTTGGGCGTTGCAGTCCTCTGCCTAGCCTGATCTGGGTATCTTTTTCTGCAGACACTCCCGTAAGCGATGGGAGCGCTTTGTTCACAGTGAGAACCAACATCTGGTGAGTCCAGAAGCTCTGGATTTCTTAGACAAGCTGTTGCGGTATGATCACCAGTCACGACTCACAGCGAGAGAAGCCATGGAACACCCCTACTTCTGTAAGTATCAGCTGCTGGCATCATCTGCTGCCCAAAGAGCTCTGCCTCTGGGAAATCTCCTTTCCTGTAGGTTGCGCAGATAGGAGCTAAGAACAGCAACATAATAATGGTCTTTGTAAATCATTGCGCTGGAGCTGAGGCTGCTCGTCTCTGTGGTGGATAAAGTAGGGCACTGCCACCTGCACCAGCCGAGGAAACCAAGTGTTACATGCCTGTGTCAGGCTGGTGGATGAGCAGCACTGTGTTAACAAAGCTTTGGTGCTAAATCCATGCTCATTCCAGCAGGTGTCTGGGCACAGGGGTTCCTGTGTTTTGATAAAACAAACTCTGGTTTCTTGCAAAACAGGCACTCTTAACTCTTTTTGTTGCTAAATGTGTACCTTAGCAAACAGTATAGGCAAGTCTTGGTTTTGCCAGCAAAAATGTAACTTTCAGTAGTCAATGTTTTTAAATGCTTGAAGTTTTTCACAAGCCTTGATATTTAGGTTTTTGAAGCAGCTGTAACAATGCAAAATGTGAGTGTTTACTCAAGGTTTTTGTTTTGTTTTGTTTTTTTTTCTTGCTGCTGAATGGACTTGTGTAATTAACAAATTCTAAATCTGTTACGCTTGTGGGAAATGTTTAAGTGAAACATTTTGCAAGTATGAGCATTAGTAAAGCTGAAAGGCTGGAACATGAGAGTTGGACAAACAGCTAAATTAACCTGTGTCTGAGTAGATATACAGGTTGTATGGAACTCGGCATGAGGAAGGGCAAAATTTGAAATTCCCTTTTCTGATGCAGTAGGCCTGGGAGGCAGCAAGGGATTGTCTCTGTTCAGGTAGAATTATTTATCTGCAGCTGAAAATAGAGTCAGTAAGTTGGGAACATCTTACAGAAGACAACAATCTCCAGTGACACTCGTTACAGCTCACAGGCTGCTGTGGGATGTGTATAGAGACATGACATATGATTGTAATTAGTGATAATCTTTCTGCTTGCTACACCCATTTTCTGGGTTTGGCTTTATGCAATTATGCTGTTGCTTAGCCTAAAAAGGAGATCAACTTCACCCTAATTTCCTTCAGCTTTTCCTGTCAGGCAGTCCTGCTGAACTCCAAAGTGCACCGTTTTAGTGACTTTTCACTGATGATGTTACCTTGGTACCTTCTTGGGCACTTCCCACTGAAGTTGGTGGAAACTTCTGCGTTTTGGTGCATGATGGTTGATATTATTTGACGTAGGCAGCTTGCCAGGCCTGGCTGAGCACAGAGGTCACGGGCAGTCGGTGTGCTTCAGCTGCTGTCTGGCAACACGGCACCTAAGGGTAGTGTTGCTCTTCCTAGATCCCATTGTGAAAGACCAAGCTCGGATGGGCTCGTCCAACATGCCGGGTGGCAGCACTCCTGTCAGCAGTGCGAGTATGATGTCAGGTCAGTTCTGCTATCGACTCTTCTCGGTGCATGGCCTTTTAAAGCATTTATACGTGTGGATGTGAGGATCCAGGAGGGTGAGTTCTGCTGGTGGGGCATTAAGTCACCTCCTGGGACTGGTGACAAGGGCAAGGAGGGCTGTGAAGAAGTGGGTGGGAGGGCACGATAAATAAGGCCTCGCTGTAGCCTGACCTGCTTTTCTGGTCTCATTTTCAAAAGTGCTTTGTAGTTGGATTTTTTTGGCAGCAGTTTGAAGGACAGTGATCCTGCCAGACATCTGCCTGTCAGTGACGCTTGCAGGTATCCAAATCTGCACTCTTTTCAGAGGCTGCAGAGAGCAGCTACAGATCTTTAATCTCAGTTTGTTTTGGCAGCTCTGGAAATAAAACAAAGCAGCAGCAAACTGACCTGCAAAGATACCGCTTCACTGAAGAAGCTGAGCTGGCCTGGGTTCCGCTCTAATTCCTGCTTACCTGTCTCTCTTCCAGGGATTTCTTCAGTGCCAACACCTTCACCCCTTGGACCTCTAGCCGGCTCACCCGTCATTTCTGCCACCACCACTCTGGGGATGCCCGTTCCAGCTGCTGCAGGCGCTCAGCAGTAGTGATGGGCTCTGTCTCCTGCTGCCTGAGCTGAGTCAGGTGGGGAAGAGCTTTCCCCCTCCACCTCTCCTCAGGACGCAGCTCGTGCCTGGCAGGGGAAGGGAGGGGATGAACGCTTTGGAGGCACCGTGTCTGAACTGTTGCTTGTGGATTTATAGTAGTTCAGTCATTATATACAAAAATTATTATAGGCTGATTTTTCTTTTTTTACTTGAACTTTTCGTAACTCAGGGGATTCCCTGAAAATACCTACAGATGGAATATTTCTCGGACAGTTCCCCCCATCCCCCACCCCCCCCCCCAAAAAAAAAAAAAAGTACTCTTCATTTAAGAACAAAGATGAATCAACAGCATTTCCAAGCTATTGCATCCTGCTGGAAATCTCTTCTCTTCATGTTCCCACCATTACTCCTCCATGAGCCTACACCTTGGGGGATTGTGCTGTTCTCCAGAGACTACCAAACCAAGTCTTCGTGAGGCAGGGGAGGGGGATTCTTAAAGTACCACTCACTTTAACCCCATGTCCTGCGTATGACTCGGCTGGGGTACACTGAGGAGACAATTCCAGTATGGAGAGGTGGTATGAGCTTAAAAGGAGTAAGTGCAGATAATGTCTGAAACCCTAATTGGATTGAATCATGTCTCCTTAGGAGCCAACCAGAATGCCAACTCACCCCCTTGCATGTTATTTTAGTTTTAAAAGATGAAGTTATTGATCCAATTGGAGTCCTTGCCCCCCCCCCCCCCTCCCCGAGTAAGGTGCTCCTGTAGAGTAAGCCCAGCTCTGATCAGCCCCTTTCTCATGGAGGGTCCTTCCTGCCATTGCTTGGCTTGGATCTCTGGAATTAGTTTGTTATTGGGTATATTGTTTTAAAATTGTTTATATAGGTTTCAAGCTGGTGGCTACTTAAAGCTGGAAAAATCAGACTGCGCCAAGTCCGATACCACATCTTCACCCACCATCCCCTCCCTCACGTGCCATGTGGTGAGAATACCAGTTACCTCACAGTCTTGTAAATATGCACTGAGAGGAAGGAGCGAGCAGACGTTAACTTAAACTGAAATGGTAGATCAGTAATTGTGGACAAATATTATCATTGACAACAGAAAAGCACCCTTGTTACAGCCCTGCTACCCCTTGCTGTGTATATATACTTTGTCCTTCATATGTGAAAGATCCAGTGTTGGAATTCTTTGGTGTAAATAAACATTTGGTTTTATTTATCGAGGTTAGATTTAAGCTCCCTGTGTAGAGGCCTCCCTGGGGTGGTGGCACGCTGACAGCGGCGGGGCTGACAGCCCCACGCGTACTGGGGAGGCCGCATCCCCCTCCCCACGCACCTCGCAGGGTGAGCAACGCAGAGGAGCCTGGCACAAACGTCACAAGCCAGAGTATCTCCTGGGAGAAGGATCTTTTGCAGCAAAACAAAACAAAAACAAAAAACAAAAAAAAAAAAAAAAAAAAAAAAAAAAAACAACTCCAAAACCTCCTCTTCTGTCTCAGCCCCAGTGGATGGAGAGTTGAAATTCTTAGTTTTGACAGTCTCTGCATTTCAGTGACTTATTTTCAGTCACATCAGGCTTATTGGGGGCTTGGCTGTAAGCACGACGGCGCCCGTCCCTCTGCGTGACACCCTCGCCTGAAGCCGGCGCAGCGGCTGCTTGTCCTGGGCCCCTGAGCCCCCAGCCTTCTCTGGGCTTTGGAGGGGGGTGAGGGTCACCTACTTCCATGCTACTTCAGTTAATTTTGTGAGGTAGGGTGGAGGGTTAAACCCACCCAGGAGAAACAGGAGCATGTGAAACACAGCCCCTTTCTGTGAGGATCAGGGGTGGGGGAGATGAGGTTTTTCACGGGCACCAGGGTGGCTTTCTCCTTTGTGACTTCATCTAGCGGGAAAACACCACGCTTAACCTTTTATATCCTAGAGTGATGTGAAAGTTGGACCGTGTTGACTGTTACCGCGATGTGCTGTAGCGTAAAAGCACCCCGTGTGACGGAAGGACAGCTCGTGTTTGCGCTGGGCTGTGAGCCACGCGGGACATTGAACCCAATTCCTTCTCTGTTATTTCAAGCGAGGGAGGTTTGCAAACCCCAGTGCTTGGTGCTACCTCCGAGGTGAGAGATGCAGATGAGCCGAGTGCAGGAGGGGATGGCAAAGGGCTGGGGGTCCAGGGTGCGGAGGGACGGTTCTGAGCGCGGCCGCGGCCCCGCGTGGTTATGGGGAGAGGCTTTATGGGTGTTTTTATACGGGGGTGGGCGTGTTACCCACCCCTGGCTGCGCTGGGGAGAAGCTGCGCCGCGGCGGGTTCAGGGTGGGGTTTTTTTTAATAAAAACTTCGAAATAAATGTACGGGTGGAGGGGGGAACACACGTGCTGCGCACTCCCCTTCGCGCATGCGCACTGGCGCCGCGCCCCGCCTTCCCCACGCGATCCGGCTGCGCCTGCGCGTTGGGGAGCCGTGACGTCCGGCCCGCGCGCCGGCAGCGGAGGGGCGGGGGGAGCGGGGGCGGGACGGGACCGGACCGGACGGCGCGGTGGAGCGCGGAGCCGGCCCGGCCCGGCCCGGTTCGGTTCTCCGGCCCGGTATGCGCCGCAGCGCCCGGGAACATGGCCCGGCGGAGCCCGCCGCGCAACGGTGTCGGCGGTCACGGTACGGGCTGGGCCGGGCCTGAGGGGAAGGCGCCAGGTGCTCTCATGGTGGGCGGGGGCTGGAGCGCCCCCCCCCTGCGGGCGCGGCGGCGCCCCCTAGCGGCGGGGCGGAGCGCGGCGGTCGGAGCCGCCTCCCGGGGGTCCCGCACCCCCCCCCCGGTTCCGACGCACCCCCCCCCCGGTTCCGACCCACCCCCTGCGGCTGCGGGACCGTCCCTCGGGGCGGGAGCGGGAGCGGGAACGGGCTCCCTCGCCAGGGAGCAACCGGGGCTGGGCCCTTGGGCTCTCCGGGCTTTTCCCAGCCCGGCGCTAACGGGGGGGGGGGGGGGGGGGGTTGTGCGGCAGCACCGGGGCTGGCCCGGCCCGGCGAAGGGCTGTGGAAGTGCCGGTGCCCGGTGTGTTCGCCTTGTTTGAGCCGTTGGGACCCCACGGTTGCTCCCCGCTCTGGAAGCACACGCCGGCGTGGGCGGTCAGCCCGGTTCGACCGGTGGAGGTGGGCTCCGTTCTCCGCAGGCGGGTGCCCTGCTCCGCTGCTTCTCAGCCGGAGCTCGTCCCGGCGCTGGCTTGAGTCGTGGAAGTCAGTAAAACCCCACTCGTGGCCGGTCAGGTGGACCTTTTGCGACGGTGCGGTTTGAGTTGCAGGGTGATTAAACCCCCGGCGCTCTGAGCTTGTGTTTCTTTCTCCTCTTCAAAGCATGAGTGACGCCACGAGTTAAGGTTTTGTGAGTGCACAAAAAAAAAAAAAAAGTTTTGAAATACAATTTTTTGGTTATACTCGCAGCTATTACCCGCTTTTGAACAGTGTAAATATTGGGGCGTTTGCCAGTAAATCTCAGAAGAGGAGCCTGCGATACGTGCTCCTTCCTTCGTACTACTCCTTAAGTTCTTCGTGTGTGAACAGGAGTTTCTTCTTCCATTTGTCTCCTCTTTCCCGAGCCTTCGGTGTGTGACAGCCCAGTGTCTGCGTGTCGCACAGCCAGCTGAGCGGGGCTGCTTTCTGTTCCTGTGCAAATAACTTTGCTTGCACAAAGGGTGGGAAAGGAAATAAAAAGCAATTGCGGTCACTGGGCGAGCGTTAGAAGCTTTAATATGACGAGGAACTTGGTGTTTGGTGGGGAGCTGGAGATCTGTTGTCGGCCGTGACAGCTTGTTTTCATCCAAGAAGTGTTTAAAAAGGCTACTTGGAGAGGGGACAGCGTCCGCTGCTTGACCCTACTTAGTGTCCGTGTGTCTGCCGTCCCGCTGTCTCCCACTCGGACGCTGCAGGCAGCGGTGCTTCCAGCCAGGCACTCGCACGCAGCTCCCGGGGAGCAGGGAGGGGGCCGGGGCAGCGCCGAGACGCCGGAGGTGCCACGTGGGCAGAGGAACGCGCTCCCCGAGTCGCTGTCGGGAGGCTGGAAACAGCTGTTTTTCCATCGGGACCCTTCTCGTTCCTCCCCCCCGCCCCCCCCCAAATCCTATTTGGACCCGTCCCTTATCAAACGAATCCCAGGAGCAGCTGGACCTGTCGGAAAAGCCTTTGGGTAAAGGCGGCTTTTGCAGCCTCATCCCACTCTCCAGCCCCGTGGCTGCTCAGCGAAGCCTCCTGAGTGGAAACTCCTCCGGTGTGGAATATCGGGTGGCCCCCGGCCGCCTCGCTCCTTCCTCGCGTGAGGCAGCGGTGACAAATACCACGATGCAGTGTGAAACAGTGCCCCTTCTCAGCTCCCCGGGAAGCGCTCCCGTGTCCTGTAAGTGTGATTAACCCATCTGAAACCAGAGCACCGTGTGCTTTGTGTGTTATTCCCTTCCCTACCTGCCCCCGAGTTCCTGTGCTCCACAGAGCAGTGGTATTTGTTTAATAGTGGCTAACCTGCGCGTATACCAATAGCTGGCGGGTTTGTTTGTTGGGAGAGAAGTCCGTATGCTTGTGATTCGTTCACCCTGGTATAATTACGTCCTTTCTTGTGACTCTTGCTGTCAGTGGAAATGCTCAGGCTTCTCCCTAGGAGCAGCTCCATCCAGTAACCACTTCCTAGCTGGGCGTTGGTAGGAGCGTGAAGTCCCGATCTCAAGAAACACCCGACGCCTGAGCTGGCGGCCGCGGCAGGGAGCAAACAGTTGCAGGATGCCTCCGCACGGCTGTCACGGTCCTGAACGGAGCCCTGATCTGTTGGGGGGGGCGAGGGATCCGCTCGGGCAGCGGTGGCAGTTCCTCCCGGGGTGGGCCCCCCCCAGGAGAAGCGCTGGGGGTGTCCCCGATGCTGAGCCTGCAGAGGCAGGGACAGTCAGCTGGTGGGTCACCTGCCGGGGTTGTCCCCAGCCTGTGCGGGCAGGGTGTGTGCTGACTGTCCCGTGTCACCTCCCTTTTTGTGTGTGTGACATCGCTGGGAGTGGGTTTCACCCCCCCCCCCCCCCCCCCGCGTGTCGGCGTTGCCTGTCAGCTTGCCTCTTGGTGATCTTCTTGCAGACTTTGATTCGAAGAAGAAAAGAAAAGTGGCGGAAATTTATCAGGCTCTGAACAGCGACCCCATCGACGTGGCTGCGCTCAGGCGGATGGCCATCAGCGAGGGGGGGCTCCTGACGGATGAGATTCGTTGCAAAGTGTGGCCGAAGCTGCTGAGTGTTAACACAGACGACCTGCCCCCTCTTCCAGGTACGGAGCAGCCGGGGCTCGGGTGCTTTGGAAGGACGGCTCGGTGATCTCTGTGCACGCAGAGGTTGGAGCACGTGCTCTCTGACCTGCCTTTTCCCTGCCTGCGCCGGCGCGTTCCCCACCAAGCTCGCGTGCGCGGGGGACTCGCGCTGCAGCGTGAATGCCGTAGCTTTGGGCGCTGGGTTCTATGTAACCGGGAGCTTTGGAAGTTTTGGCAGATCCGGAAATAACGTGACGTCCTAAAAACAACGTTTCCACTGTGCTGTGAGGGTGTTGTTATGTTTAGTGACAGTGATGGGAATTAGTTCGCTTCGGACGCGGTTGGTGTGGCGCCGAGCAGTTAGCTGGCATGTGTGAGTTTGGCTGCAGCAGAAAGCGTCACCCTTAATTTTTGTTGCTCCCGTGGAGAGGTGGCTGTGCTGAGCCCTGGCTTGGCCAAAATCCTTCCGAGGTGTCCCTTCCAGGCATAGGTAAAGCAGTTTGTTGCGTGAAGCACGTGTGGTGTTTGGTCAGAGCAGACGCATGGAAAATCACCTTCCTGATGAGGTACCTACATGGGTTTTAAACCTTAGCGACGGAGAAGCTTCAGCTCCTGTAGCTTTTACAGTCACTGTCCCCAAGACAGACTTTGTTGTTGTTGTACCTGAATCTGTGGCCATTCAGAAGTGTGCCTCGCCCCCCATCAGTCAGGAGCCAGATTGTGTTAGGTGATCAGAGCTGCTGGAAGACAACATTTCATTTCACGTGATCACATTGATAGTTCAGTGTGCCACCAGATTCTTTTCTGACTATCTTAGACGCCCGGGGGTGGGGTTTTCTTCTGAATTATTTCTGTGTAATAAACTATTCTTTGTGGTCTCCACGGTGTATCATGCCTTGCTGCTGCTGAGCACGCGTTAAATTGCACAGCAAAACTGTGGAGCAAAGCTGTTTCCAGGAATGCTGGGAGTGGTGTCGGTTTAAGCATTTTAATGTATGTTGTTTAAAGAAATAAGACTCGTTTCCTCACGCTGAAGTGCCGTTAGTGTCAGAATTGCACAGCAGCACAAGTGTGAGGGGACAGGGCTGGCGTGTGACATACAAAAAAGGGGACATACGATGGGGTGGCGTGTCTGGGTGCGCAGCCTCCTCCTCTTACCTTCAGCAGGGTTTTCTCCCGGATCCCTCACCCAGCTCTCTTCCCAGTACCTTTGTGCTACTGTCCTGATTTTGACTGGGATAATTTTCTTCCTAGTAGCTGGTGCAGTGCTGTGCTTTGGATTTAGTGTCAGGATAATGTTGAGAACACACTGATGTTTTAGTTACTGGGTAGAGCTTATCCTAAGTCAAGGATTTTCCAGTTTCCCATGCCGGCGAGGAGGTGCACAAGAAGCTGGGAGGGAGCCTGGCCAGGAGAGCTGACCTGAACTAGCCAAAGGGCTGTTCCATCCCGTCGGACATCATGCCCAGTATATAAAGTGGGGGGAGTAGGGGGGGGGGCGGATTGCTGCTCGGGCACTGGTCAGCAGGTGGTGAGCAATTGCACTGTGCCTCACTTGTCTCTCCTTGGGGTTTATTTCTCTTCCCTTTTTGTATTATATTCTCTTTCATCACTATCACTATTGTATTTTAAAATTATTGTTGTTGTTATCATATTATATTTTCGTTATTAAGCTGTTCTTATCTCAACCCACAAGTTTTACTTTTCTGTGGTTCTCCTCCCCATCCCGCTGGGAGGAGGGAGGAGCGAGCAAGCGACTGCGTGGTGCTCAGTCGCTGGCTGGGGTTAAACCACGACAACTGCTCAGTGTTAATCATATTCCTCTTTTTCTCAGCAGGAAAGGAGCTGCGAGAGGACAATAAAGATTACCAACAAGTGCTACTGGATGTGCGGCGATCCCTGCGCCGTTTCCCGCCAGGTGAGGGGATTCTCCTCTTCCTGCTCTGCGGGGGGAAGGTCTGTGCCATGGGGCTCCGTTTGCTTCTGTTTATTTTAGACCGTGGTTTAGCTCAGGGGCATGGAAGGCAGGTTTGCCGGTGGTTAGAACAATTTCTGGTGTAAAACATTCTCGAAATCAGGTTCAGGCACCAAATTTAAGAGAACTCTGAACCTTTAGAGAAGCAAAATGTTTTTGCAGTTGTTTAGTTCTGATGGGTGGCTGGTGCCTCGTTGTGCTATTTATAAAACATTTAATCCAGCAGCTATCTTAACTCTGCATAGCAGTCATTATTTCTGGCCAGAACTTCCTTCCCACTTCTGCTTTTATTTTGTGCAAACAGTTGTTTCACTCTGATTCTCTTTTGAGTGCAGATACTGTGCGCAAGCCTGATTTCTGAAGGCTCTAGTACAGATTTTTTTGCCCTTGAATGGCAGCCTCCTGCCTATTTTTAGATGCGTTAGTGAAGCAGGGGAAAAGGAGAACTTTGTCATTGCGGGATCTCCACTGGGACTTTCTGCTTGGCCTTTGGGCATTTTATCTGTTGACAAGGACTGCCAGAAACTGCCTGCAGCTGTGCAGGACAGGAACAATGTTTTTCCTGTGACATCCTGTCCTTAAACACATGTTGTTAGCTGGGGACTGACAGAAAGTTGTGACGATAGAGGCCTCGCAATCTGATGTAGTTGGCACAGTTTCGGCGAAAATGGGTCCTGTTTAATTTTTTTCTAGAACCCCTGGGAAATTAAAGATGATTAAAATGTCCTCAGTAGTGCTGGATGGGCAGCGCAATTCGCTCTCCGCAGCACTGTACAAGTGTCAGTAAACCCTGCTGCTGTCCTCCACGGTGACTCCCTCGCAGGTAGGGGCCCTGTGCTCTGAAGATTAAACAACCAACTGGCCAGCTTCCCCTGGGCCATCAGTTTTGGGGCGCAAAATTAGGACTTGGGGTATTTTTTTCCTGCTAGTTTTACCTCCCTCCCCTTTGCAGCACGTCCCTTGGGATCAGGCGTGTTGGTAAATGCACAGGTCCTCTCCCTGCGCGCCGGTAGGTGACAGGGGTGGGTGACACAGCCCGTCTCACTGCTGCCTGGTGCTGTCCCCACAGGGATGCCAGACGACCAGAGGGAAGGGTTGCAGGAGGAGCTCATCGATATTATCCTCCACGTCCTCAAGCGCAACCCCCAGCTGCACTACTACCAGGGCTACCACGACATCGTGGTCACCTTCCTGCTCGTGGTCGGGGACAGACTGGCCACAGCTCTGGTGGAAAAGCTCTCGACGCATCATCTCAGGTAGTCAGCGGGCTCAGCTGGAGGAGGGGAACTGCCTGAATGTCCTCGAGGTGTGGGGACACGTGTGCAGATGGGGCTGGCCTGGAAGGGGAGCGGGGAAGGCAGAGCCCTGGGTTAAGAGCGGCTGCCTGTGATGTCTGTACCCAGGGGGGTGCTGTGAGAGAGCAGCGTGACCACACCATAACGCCTGGCCTGGAGTTGTGCTCTGGGGAAGGGCTAATTGAAGGCCGTCAGTTAATTTGTAGCATCTCCTGAAGCTGAAAAAGCCAACGCACATGCATTATTCATAGCTCTCTGGCCATCCGGCTCCCCGGGGGCTGGCTCAGCACAGGTGCCTTCTGCAGCCCTGGGCCGTGTGGTCTGTACCTGAGCCCCCACCTCAAGTGCCTCCTGGTTGTGCACTGAAACGAGAACAAGCCTTCGGCTGGGGAGTGCTTTGGAGGGATCCTCCCTCCTCTCCCAGTCAGGGCGTTAGGTTTTGGGTGCTGGAAAGGCTTTTAGGGTTCACGCGTGCACTGTGGCAAAATAAGAAGTGCCAGCTGACACCAGCGTGATTGGGTCTGGGTTTTCTGTGCAGATCAGCCCTGTGTGTCCCAGATAGGTAGGAAGGGGGGCTGTCCCAAACAGACAGAATTCCTTGGGGCTGGGGGCCACCCTGCCAGCAAAGCTGTTTATCACAAGTACGTTTATTTACCTTCTGGCTGCCTCCCTGGAGGGAGAGCTCACTGACGTGGTTGCTTGACAGAGCTTCTTTTAAATCTTTCCCCAGGGATTTTATGGACCCAACGATGGATAATACCAAGCACATTTTAAATTACCTGATGCCCATCATAGACCAGGTGAACCCTGAGGTGCATGACTTCATGCAGAGGTACGCAGACGTTCCCTCGGAGCCTCTTAGCTCTCCCCTGCCAGTCTCACGTCCCCAGCACCACAGTGGCTTCCTCAGAGTGAGTCAAGAGCTGACCCACAGCTAACGGTGACAATCCAGAGCCATGTGGCACTCTGCTTCCAAGCAGACCCACCCCTGTGCTGCCCGTCTCGAGGGGTTTTACACGGTGCCATCTTCACCCCAGCAGCCTGCAGTCCCCCTTGGAAAGGCTGGGGGGGTTTGCAGACGATGTCGTACAAAGCTACCACAACTGCTTCACGTACCCAGTTTTCCTGCTGTAGTTTGTTGCTAGTTCTGGGGATGATTCCGAGGTTGTGCAGTAGGGACACACAAGTGTAGCCCAGGTATGATAAAGCAGGAAGGGAAGTGGGAAGGTTCAGTCCAGAGCCCTTTTCTGGGCAGGTGTCTCTTCTGCTTCATGGCCAAGATGGCTCTGGGTACCAAGCTGGATTAGAAACTCCCAGAAGTTAGCGAGGCTTTCGGGTGGAAAGCAATCTGAAAAGTTGACCATGCTGCAGGACTTCAGGTGTCCTCAGGTCAGCGTGGCAGACAGTGACGTGGCGTGTCACGCGTTCAAGTTCTCCCGAAAGCAGACCGTCCGGGCCTTTACGTGGAGCCTGCTTGATGCGAGACGAGGGGTTGTATCAGGGGTGTAGTACGTGGGTGCAGACTGAGCTCTGAACGCTCTGCCAATAGCCAGGTCTGTCTCCCCTTCCCAGCGTGGAGGTGCAGTGCAGGGATGGCCCGGGAGCATTTCAGGGCTGTCTCCAGGCTGCTGCCAGGGGCTGATCTAACAGCACTTTCTCTCCGCGCAGTGCGGAGGTGGGAACCATCTTTGCTCTCAGCTGGCTGATCACCTGGTTCGGGCACGTTTTGTCCGACTTCAGGCACGTCGTGCGATTATATGACTTCTTCCTGGCTTGCCATCCACTGATGCCCATTTATTTTGCTGCTGTGGTAGGTATTGGCTGGAATGGTCGGGGGGGGGGGGGGGGTTAACCGAACCCTGGCAAGGCGCTGGTAGTTTGGGGCTGGCAAAGCCAGTGCTGCTGCTGTCCCCAGCTGCTCTGCAGGGGACCCCGAAGCCACCAATGACCTTGGCGATGGCCGAGGGCAGGTGGGGGGTGTCCAGATCTGCAGGCTGCTCCAGTTCAGTGCCCTGGAGGCAGCACGACCTGGTGTCTTCCTTTGCTTTGAGGTGGCTGGCCCCGCTGCTGGGCTCTTGCTTGGGTGCTGGGGAGCCTGGCTGGCTGGGGACAGCCCTGTGCCCGGTGTCCCTCTGCCCCTTCTCCTACAGGGGGTCCAAACAAATCTCTGTTTGAGGGCAGGCCGCAGAGCCAAGCCCTGCTGAGCTCCTGCCCGTGTCTCTGACCTGCCAGTAGCAGGCTCTGCTCAGGAGAGAGACGTAACTACCCAGGAAGGGGCTTTCCACAGCCTCAGAGTCTCGGGAAAGGTTTAGTGTTTCTTTCCCAGACAAGGAGTGTTTCGCTGCAGTTGTATCCCCTTGAGGAAGGGCAGGTCTTTCAGCTGGTAGCAGAATGTTTTCCCGCTCTGAAGCGCCAAGGAATCGTAGCTGCTTCCCTGGCTGTCCTCAGTGCCCTCGCTCCTCTCTGCAGATCGTGCTGTACCGGGAGCAAGAAGTTCTGGATTGCGAGTGCGACATGGCCTCTGTCCACCACCTCCTGTCCCAGATCCCCCAGGACCTTCCTTACGAGACTCTGATCAGCAGAGCTGGGGACCTTTTTGTCCAGTTTCCGCCATCCGAACTTGCCAGGGAGGCAGCCCAGCAGCAGGCTGAACGGTGAGTACAGGGCGGCCCCTGTGTTCTGCGCATCCCCCTTGGCAGGTCTTGCTTCCTCAGGAAGATCCTCCTGGCAGGAGGCTGGGTCCCGAAAGCGAGCTGGGGGGCACACCCTGACCCATTTCTTCCCTTGCAGAACTGCGGCCTCCACTTTTAAGGACTTTGAGTTGGCGTCAGTGCAGCAGAGACCAGACACTGTGTTGAGGCAGCGCTTCAGGGAGCGGCTCCGAGGCGAGGAGCGGACAAAATCCATCTTGACAAAGCCAAGGACCAACCGCTTTGTCAAGCTGGCGGTGATGGGGCTGACGGTCGCGCTGGGAGCAGCTGCCCTGGCCGTGGTGAAGAGCGCGCTGGAGTGGGCACCCAAGTTTGAACTGCAGATTTTCCCCTGAAGCCGGAGGAAGGGCCTCCCCTGTCAGCACGTCGTTCCCTGGCGGGAAAGCAGGGGGGTTGATGTTTGATGGGAGGACGTGTCCGGAATCGACCCGTCTGAAGATTATTTTTTATTCTTGCTGTGTCCTGTGACGCTTTTGGCCTTTGCGACAGAAACTGATGGGAACCAGCCCGGCAGGATTGTGCCCCACGCCGACGCTCACCTTGTTCTCTCCTCCCCGTGCAGGGGTGAGCGCACGGGCGCTGCCGCCGTCTCCTGAGGAACCAGAGGTCCAGATGAGTCAGGCTCTTCAGGCTGCGCGCCGGGGACTGTCCGAGCAGAAAGCCGCGCGTGGGCCGTACCGAAACGATCCCGCGTTCTCTGTTGGGGGGGTAACTAGTGTGAGCGAGGGCAGATCCTCACCTGGAGGAGAGCGTCACCGCAGGGTTTGGCCGGGGGGGGGGGGGGGGGGGTGTTTGGGGGCGAGGGGCTGTTACACTCCTGAGGAACGGGGCAGCCCTCCGGCTCCGCATCGCTCCCATCCGCGGGCTGCCAGCACACCTCCGACCCTTCCCCTCCCTACAGGCAACCTCTGAGTAGAGCCAGACCTTTCACAAGCCCCTGTCAGCGCCCTGCCGTTGGGGTTCTCTCCAGCGTGTAACACCCCCTGGCTCTTTTTTCCTTCCTCATCTTTGCAGCCCGGCCTGTTGACAGGGGAGAAGGGCAGGGGGCAGGAGCAGAGCCGCGGGACTGCCAGAGGGAGATTAGCTCTGGGTCGCTGGGGCTCCTTCACGGGTCGGCTCGCAGATCAGCGAGGTGAGACACAAGTGTCACTGGCCCTGCCCGTCACGTGCCAGATTGGGTCACCGCAAGTCTTAGCAGCACTCTAAACGCCCCTTGCAGACTCTTTATTTTTTTTTTTTCTCACAGCTCTGAAAGCAGGCTCTAACGTGGAGAAAGGCTTTTTTCCACCTTGTGAAACATTTCGCCCAAGGCAGAAGTCACGGTGGTGGGAAGCCTGTCTTTAAATCTCCCCCCCACGAGCCGACGAGGCTTCAGCAAGTGGGGGGGTTTCTCGAAAGGCCACCCCGATCCCCACCTCGCCACCCAGCCCAGTTAACACTCCCAGCGCTCCAAGCTAAGCAGCAAATCCTCCTAGACAACTTGGTGTCCCACTGAGACAAAGCCAATAGACTCTCTCTGCCTCTACCTCTCCCCTGAGCTGCTAAACCTCCCGCAAGTGCCCTTACCTGGCCCTCGCTGCTCCCCCCCCCCCCCCCCCCCCCACCGTTGCTGTGTTGTGCCCAAACCCGTCTGTGCCCGGGGGCTGCGCACCTGGAAACCAGCTGTTGGTTAAAGAGTTACGGATTTCAGGCTGGAGAAAAAAAAGTCATGCCCTGCAAGGCTCCGCACCCTCCTGTCCCAACCCTCTGCTTTGTCGGGTCATAACCACCTCTGGATAAGTTCTGGGGGGCCCTCGCTCTTGGGGGGGGGCTGTGCCTTTCTGCCCGTCAGGCTGGCCGGAGGGCGTGGGGGCGGTCGTCACGCCTGACCCGTGTTTCTGTAAAGCTCTGAGGAGTTTCCTTTGCCGGCTGCAGGCTGAAATCCGGAGCGTGTGGATCTGCTCCCGCCCAGGCAGGGCTGGGAGAGCCGTGCCCTCGGGCCTGGCTCCTGCGAGGGCTGCCTGTGCCGGTGCTGAGAGCCGGGGGGGGGGGGGGGCTGCTCCCGGGCCCCCTCCTCTTGGGGGGCTGAAGGCAGAGCCCCTTGCTGGCCCTCAGCACCTCCCCGGGGCAGCAGCGGCGCGGGGCAGAGCGCTGGCTGACTTAGCACTTTAGAAATTCGTGGTGCAGAAGAGTCTGGGGTGACCTGGGGGTGCTGCTGGAGGTCCCAGGACCCCTCTGTGCGCTGCCCCGAAGGAGGGGGTGGCTGGAGCCCCCGCAGGGGGAAGCCCCTGCAGCCCCCCCCCCCCCCCCCAGTTCTCTGGCCACGATGCACTTTAGTTCTTGCGTTGTCCCCAGGAGGAGGAAGGGCCTGAGAGGGAGACGGTTGCTCCGGGTTCTTGTTACTCTGTACAAAGACTTATACATAACCGTGTAAATGCAGATTTGTACAAACCCTATAACTGTAAAATAAACAGTTACTGAACACATTTCCCTCCCCCTGTGCCGGCAGGGGCCGCGGCGTGGGGCTGGGGGTCCCAGATCTGCTCTCAGAGTGCCCCGAGGCCCAGAGCTGGCCCAGACCCCGGGGTGGCCTCGCACCCGGTAGCCCCCCCCGTGGGAGGAGAAGCAGGAGCAGAGCCCAAGGGCGCTTGGGTGCCCCCGGCTGCTCTTCCCCTTCCATCTGCCGGCCTCCCGTTAAAGGCCGGGACACGGGCGTGCTGTCGGCTCACCGGGGCAGCGTGTGACCCCCCCCCAGGCCCCACACCAGCGGCGTGGGGCTGTGAATAACCCAACGGGGCCGTGTTCACCCGACTGAGCCGGGGATATTTTTAGTTCCCTGTGGCTTCCGCTCTGGGAGCGATTTTTTTCTCAACAGCCCTCAGAGCCCTTGGGGAGCGACCCGCAGGCAGAGGGGCTGCTGGGGGCTCAGCAGGGGTTTTTGGGGAGGGGGGGGGCAGAGGGCGGGCAGGGCTGAGGTTTTTCAGCAGAGGGGAGCCTGGAGAGCCAGCAAAGCGCCTTTCCTTGCGCCCTGTGCCTTTGTTACTGCGGTGGGTGCTGCCCAGCGATGCCTGCAGCCCGGGCAGTGAGCCCAGCACCAGCCCCAGGGGGAGGGAAACAGCCAGGCCCGGCTGGGGCTCAGGGGAGAGAACAGCCCGTAAGGAAACGTCGCTGGTGTTTTATTTACGCACACACACACACACACCCCAAAAAGAGCACGAACAGGGACGTGGTCGGTGCAAACACGGTGCACAGGTTCCCCAGGGGCACCCAGTGCCTCCCAGTCCCGGCGGCCGCATCCTGCCTGCAGCCACCAGCCCCGCTCCCGGGCACCTCCGCGCTCAGACCTTGGAGCCCTCTTCTTCCTCTCCTGCTCCCCGGCGCCTCCGGCCGCCCAAGCGTGCAGCTCTTCCTCCTCATCCTCCTCAAGGAGCGCTTGCCCGTGCCGGAAGGTGTAGGGTGCCCGGTGCTTGGCCTCGGTGGAGCGCGGCAGGAGCGGCCCCCAGCTGCGGGGCCTCTTTATCAAGGATAGGACGAGGGGTGACAGTTTTAAACCGAAAGAGGGGAGATTTCGGTGAGATTTAAGGCAGAAATTGTTCCCTGGGGGGGGGGGGGTGAGGCGCTGGCCCAGGGTGCCCAGAGCAGCTGTGGCTGCCCCCTCCCTGGAAGGGTTCAAGGCCAGGTTGGACGGGGCTGGGAGCCCCCTGGGCTGGGGGAAGGGGGCCCTGCCCGGGGCAGGGGGGGGCACTGGGGGGGGTTTGAGGTTCTGTGCCAGACGGAGCGGTGGCCGCCACGCAAAACCCAGCACTCGGGGGGGGTGGGGGTGTGGGTTCTGCCACAGCACCGGCCCCTGAGCCGCCCGCAAAGGGGTCTGGGCACCGTGGTGGCCGTGCCAGCGCTGAGCCGGCTGCTCCGCGGTGCTCACCCCAAACCTCCCCCCCCACCCCCCCCCCCCATCCCATCCAGCGTTGGGAGCACTGGGGGGGGCCGGCAGCCCCCACGAGCAGGGGAAGGGTCCCCGAGGGGAGGCTCACGGGGGGGACAGGGCCACCCAAATTCTGTGGTGGGATGCACCCCACGAGCTGGTGGGTGCACCCCTGGCGGGAGGCGGGAGGAAGGGGGTTTGGGGGTCTCTTACCTTCCAGCTGAGGGGGGGGCCAGGCTCTGGGGGGGCACAGGGGGGGCCGGGCCAGGCCATGGGGAAGGCGACAAGATCCTGGGACCCGCAGCCACGGCCCCCCCCGGCACTGTCACCTCCTGCCCTTGCCGCAGGGGACAGGGCACTGGTACTGGGTGCACCCCCCCCCCACGCAGGGGGCTGCTTTGAGGAGCACCAAGAGGAACCCCAAGAGCTTCTCCCCCACCCCCCCAAACCCCCCCCCCCTCAAGGAGCTTCCTGGCCGCAGCACCAAGGCCACATCCTCGGGGTGACCGAGAGCATCGCTGCCCTTGTCCTGGTGGGGCTTCCACGCGGGATGGAGGAAAGGGGACCCCCCCTCCGCCCCCCCCCCCAAACCTGCCCCGTGGGAACCTGCCGGTCCTGGGCCTCATCCAGCCCCGGCACAGCCCCTGCCGCCGCGCTGGCAGGATCAGGCCCGGCATCAGGCCATGCACAGCCACCCAATCGCCAGCGCTGGGGAGGGAGGGGCGGTGGCGGGGAGGGAGGGCTGCGGCCACTTTTGGGGGGGGGGACGGGACACCAAGCGTGGGGGGACATGGGGTCACGGCCACCACACCGCGAGGATGGGGGTCACGGTGTTTCCCCCCCCCCCCCCGCCAGGTTGTGTGCGTGGGGATGCGTGGAAATGTCAGTCTGGGAGGTGGGGGGGGGGGGTTGGGGGGGGGGGACAGGACCCTTTCGGTGCCGGCCGTGGCGCTGAACAAAGGCCTCGCGGGGGGAACGTGCTGCCCGTGGGGCCAGCGGTGCCCCCCCCACGCACAGCACCAGCCTGGGTGGCCCCAGAATTGGGGACACGCTTGTCCCTCCACCCCTCCTTACATGCAGGGGTGTGGGGGGGGGGGACACGGAGGGGGGGGGGGGGTGTCACTCCCCCACACACTCCTGCCCCCCCCCCCTTTTTTCTCCCCACTTACCCCTGGGGGGGTGGGGGGGGGCAGACGCCTTAGCGCGTCCCTCCCCATCCCAGTGCTGCCACCAACAGCGGTCCCGCTGCTGTCCTTGTGTCCGGGAGGGATCCCACGGCACCGTCCACGGGTGGGCAACCACCCCCCCACGCAGGAGGCTTGGAGGGGGGCGGGATTGGAGGGGGAGGAGAGGAGAGGGGGGGCCCATGCCTGGCCCGAGTGGCTCCCCGCTGCGCGGAGCCGGCGAGATGCTACGTGCAGCCGCCACGCGTGACACGGAGCCCGGCCCCACACCCTCCTCGTCCCCCCATCACACCCCCGCGGGGACAGCGCCGTCCCCATCGCCCGAGATGCTCCGGGCTCCCCTTGTTGCCATGGCAACAGCTCCGGAGGGGGGGAGGAGTGACGCAAGCGGCGCGTGGCCGGCCCCCCCCACCCCGGACCCTCCTGCGGGGCTGGATTAGAGCCCACCCCACCCCCACCCCCGTCACGGGTGGGGCTGACGGTGCCGCGGGGCTGCGTGTGCGCGGGGGGCGGGCACCGCACACTCGTGCACGGCCGACACGCGTGCACGGCACACGTGTGTGCGCGCACGCGCTGTGCCTCCTCGCCCCACGCGCGCCGGCCGGGCGCACAGGGGCAGCCGGCGCGCTCGGGGGGTGCACGCGTGCAGGGACACGCACACCCACGCACAGACGTGTGCGCACCCACACACAACCCCCCCCTCCCATACCCCCCCCCATACCCCCCCACACCCAGCAGCGTGGCACCGCTCCCCCGGGACACCCAGCCCACTCCACCCGCTGCGGGTGAACCCTCCCCAGGGGATGCCCCACGTGGGAGCCCACGAGACCCAGGGATCGGAGTGGGGCCCCGTGGTGGTGGTGGGGGGGGGGGGGCTGTACTCCACGGACCAAGGTGGGAGCTGATGTGCCCGGGAGTGGGATGCTGGACCCTGGGGACCCCTTGTCCCTTGTGAACCCCCCATCTCCCTGGGGACCCCGCAACCCCTCTGAGGACCCCCCCCATCCCCTTGGGGACCCCCCCATCTCCCTGGGGCCCCCCCCCCATCCCACTGTGAACCCCACATCCCCCCTGCAACACCCGCCCCAATCTCCCTGGGGACCCCCCCCCAGCCCCCTGCAAACCCCCGCATCCCCCTGGGCACCCCCTTGTCCCCCTGGGGACCCCCCCCCGTCCCCCTGGGGACCCCCCCATCCCACTGTGAACCCCACATCCCCCCTGCAACACCCCCCCAATCTCCCTGGGGACCCCCCCCATCCTTCTGCAAACCCCCCCATCCCCCTGGGGACCCCCTTGTCCCCCTGGGGACCTCCCCCCGTCCCCCTGGGGACCCCTTTGTCCCCCTGGGCACCCCCTTGTCCCCCTGGGGACCCCCCCCGTCCAGCCGGGAGGGAGCCACACGGCGCAGGAGCAGCCGGAGCCGCGGCCAGCAGACCAACACACTTTATTCCATAATCACAACAGCCAGGATAACCGCGAGCCGAGCGGCTGCGGGGCCGGAGACACCCCCCACACCCCCCCACACCCCCCGGGGCTGAGCCGGGGGCCGGGGGTGCCCCTCGCCTGAAAAAAAAAAAAAAAAAAAAAAACACAAAAAAAAACCAAAAAAAACCTATTTCTCCAAGACAACAGCTACAGGAACCCTTCACTAACACGACGCTACAAAGGTGACCCCGAGCGCTGGCGCCCGTCCGCAGGCTGCGCGGGGGCCCCGCCAGCCCCGGGGGCCCCCGGCCCGCTTGGCCGCCGCCGGGGCGGCTTCTTCCTGAGAGAGGTTTGGTTTATTTTTTTTATTATTCATTTATTATTATTATTATTATTATTATTATTTATTATTATTCGCTTTGTCTCTAGTGATGCCGGGATGTCGCACGCGCACGCACACACGCTCGCACACGCAGGCCAGCCAGCACCGGGCAGCGGGGAGGTGGTTGGGGGGGGGGGGGGGGGGGGGGGGGGCGCAGCGGGAGGGGGCTGCACGCTGCAGGGGGGGAAAGGGGGGGTTTGGGGGGGGAGTCTGGGATTGGAGCGGGGTCGGGGGGGGGGGGTCTCTAAGCACTACAACCACACGGCACAGAAAAATCCACCACTGTCCACAACGGTTCTCCCCTGACAAACACACCCAGTGAGTCGGGAGGAGGGGGCGGGAGGGGGGGGGGATGGGGGGGGATTTGGGGGGGGGGGGGGGACACGAAGCGGATGGTGTTGTGCTTGCAGCCGGGGTTTTGAGGGGCGGAGGGGGGACGACACCCCGGCTCTGGCTCCGGTTCTGGTGCTGACCCAGAACCTGCTCCTGAGGAAACGTTTCGCCTGACAGTCCGTGGGGCTGGGGGGGGGGGGGGGGGGGGGGAGCACCCCTCGGGTGATGCACCAAGCGCGGGGGATCACCGGGCCACCCGTGTCCCCGCCGCGAACAGGAGACGCAGCCCCGAGCTGCAGGGCTGGCAGAGCACACGCAGGAGACCCTCACCGTGGCTTCAGGCCCTGCTGGTATTTGTTGGAGTGTGTGTGTGGGGGGGGCTTTGGCTTCCCCCCTGAGTGGGTGCCCCCGGCCACGACCTGGGGCGGCCACGCACCCCGAGAAGGCACCGAGGTGCTGGGTGAGATCTGTGCGCGTCGGAGAGCCCTGGGGCCACGAGACACCCCCCACCCCCACCCCACCCCCCCACGGGAACCCCCAAACCCGGCTCACGCGTGGGAGGGAGCTTGGGGTTCCCCCTGGGTGGGGCTGCCCGGGGAGGAGCAGGCAGGCCCGGCGCTTTTTTGGCTTTTCCAGCTTGGGTGGGGCTGGGTCCTGTGGGGAATGGCCTCGGGGTGGGGGGGGGGTGGGATTTGGGGGGTAGGGGGGGGAAGGAACGGGGACACGCTCTGTACGGGGAACACGTGTCTGATGCGCGACACCCGCCTGTCTCCGCAGGCTGGCACCGGCACCGGGGGCTACTGAAACACCGTGGCTAACGCAACGCCGACACGCGCACAGCTACCGCTACACACCGACACATCTACAACGCGAGGGGTGGCCGTCGGGGGGGTGGGGGGGGGGCGCCTCGAGGGGACCCCGAGATCACCCGCACCGGGGGACACCGAGCATCCCTGCCCAGGGCCCGAGGACACACCTCAGCACGTCCCTGTGCCGCCGTGACCGTCCCCGCGGCTCGGCCAGGGCCACCGGCACCCCTGGCAGTGGGGGCCGGGCAGGTCCCCCCCCCTCCTCAGCTCCGAGTCACCCTGGGGGGACACCGGGTCCCCGGGGGTGGCGGGGAGGGGGATGCCCTTCCCCTGGTCACAACTCCAGCCCCACAGCGATGGGCAGGCACGGGGCAGCCTGCCACCGGAGGAGCCCCCCCAAAACGGGAAGGCGGAGCCCCGGGGAGTGGGTGCCCCAGCACCCAAGAAGGGTCAGAGGGGCTCCCCCCACACCCAAAGCCCCCGGGGAACCGTGGGCGACGCTTCGAGCAGCCGACCCTGCCCAGCCCAGTGCAGCTCCCCTGGGTCCCCCGGGGGGGTGGCCGGGGTCCCCACCGGCACCCCACACGCCACGGCCGCTGGACCCGAGCGCAGCCCCCCGCCCCACAAACGCTGCAGCCACGTGCACCCCGGCAGCGGGAGGCGGCGGCTCGTCGCGGGAAGTAGCCATAAGGAAAAGCAAAGAAAATCCCGGCTGGAGGAACGGCTGCGGCGTTCTCCACGCCGGAGCATCGCCCACACCCCGCGTGCCCACCCGAGTCGGCTGCCGCCGTTCCCGGCCCCGTTTTTTAGGGGGGGGGGGGGTGCTGCTTAAGGCGGATTTCCCGCAGCATCCCTGCCCAGCGCCCGGCCACCCCGGCAGCAGCACCCACCGCGGCCGGGCGCGGTGGGACCTGGCTCCAGAGCGGGTCCTGCGTGGGTGTCAGGCCCAAGGCTGAAACAGGGGCTGGCTGCTTCGGGGGGGGGGGCTCACCCCCGCCGGAGTTTGGGGCGATTCCGGGCATGGTCTCCCCCCACACAACCGCCTGGCGAGAGGAACAACACAGCCTCCCGCGTCCACGTGCGCATCACGTGCGTTCAACTTCGCTCTTCCCAAAGCGAGCGGCGGGGGAGCGGGCGCCGCAGGGAAAGAGCCCGTCTTGGGGGACACCGAACCCCCAAAGCCGGAGACCCCCCCAAGATGGGGAGTCTGGGACCCCCCCCGTGAGACGGGGCGTCAGGCGAGGAGGGCTCCGCGCGGCTCTTCCATCCCTCCCCAAGGGCTGCTACAAGGAAGAGGAGAAAAATCGAAGCCGTGCTTTAAAATGCAGTCAAAAAAGCAAAAGGAATCGGCCATTCCCCGAGGAACGGGGAGGGTGGGGTGGGCACCGGGGCTCCCGCTGCCCGGAGAGCGGGAGGGCACACGGGAGCAGCCCTGGCCGGCTGGGGGAAGGGGCCGGGCGCCGACAATGAAAACCCGATTAGACGCTCGCGTTTCGTAGGCAAATAACCGCGGCGGTCAGCCCCGCGTCCTGCGGTCGCAAGGCCGGACAGACGGACGGACGAGGAGCGGGTGTGTGCTGGGGGGGGTGGGGTGAGCAGGGAGCTCTGCCTTCCAGCGGCTTCAAGGCAAAATACCTGATTCCTGCATGTAAACAGCTGGTTTCGGTTAGTTTGTTGTTTGTTGTTTTTTTTTTTTTTTTTTTCCTTTCTGCTTTTTTTTTTTTTGTTGTGGGGTTGGTTTGTTGGGTTTGTTTTTTGTTGTTTTTTTTTTGTTTGTTTGTTGTTTTGTTTTTTTTTTTTTTTTTTTTTTTGATACGACCTGATTGTGGAAAAAGAAAAGAGCGTTACCTGCAGAGCGTGGGACTCAGTAGGTAAAGACCAAGTCCGAGATGCTGGACATGAGCCAGTCCCCCGCGATCATCTCCGTCACCTCGGGCGTGCAATAGTCCGGGAACTCGAAGTGCGAGGAGCCTCCCCGGGGGAAGAGATCATGGTCCTTGTCGAAGACGGACCAGTCCAGGGCACCGCAGGCGGCACCGGCGGGGGCCCGCCCGGGCACGACCCCCAGCAGCTCTTCCTCCAGCTCCTCATCGGAGGAGCTGGAGGAAGAGGAGGGAGGGGACCCGGCTGACATGGGAGAGGGGGACCCGCTTTCGGGGGAGCTCCCCGGCTCGGGGCAGGCGGCGACGGGGCTCGGAGGCGCGGGGAGCTCCCGGGGGTCACGCTCGCCGGTGGGTGCCGCGGGGCTGTCGTCACCGGGTGCCTCCGGTGCGGGCTCCTGCGGGGTGGCGGGGGGCTTGGCGGGCTGCCTGCGGCCGGCAGAGACGCGGCCCAGCACGGAGGGTTTGATCTTCACCGGGAGGCGCGGGCGGGCCGCGCCGGTGCCCACCTTGCCCTTTTTCCGAGGCCGGTACTTGTAGTCGGGGTAGTCGGCCATGTGCTTGAGGCGCAGGCGCTCGGCCTCCTTGACAAAAGGGATTTTCTCGGAGTCGTGGAGGAGCTGCCAACGCCGGCCCAGGCGCTTGGAGATCTCGGCGTTGTGCATGTCGGGCCACTGGTCCATGATCTTGCGGCGCTCGTGCTGCGACCACACCATGAAGGCGTTCATCGGCCGCTTGATGTGCCCGCTCGGCGTCTTGCACCAGGCGGGTTCGGCGTCACGAGTGGGCAGCGGGGCGCAGGGCTCCCGACGAGCCTCCGCGCCCCGGCCCCGTGTGCCGCGCTGCACCATGCCGGGGCCCGGGACCCCCCCGCCGCCACCTCCTCCTCCTCCTCCGCCTCCTCCTCCTCCTCCTCTTCCTCCTCCCCGCCCGCCGCCTCCCCGCCCGCCGTTACGCGCCCCGCCGCGCCGCCCCCATTGTGCGGAGCGGGCGGTGGCGGCGGGGCGGGGCGCCGGGGGCCGCGCCGGGGCCCGGGGGCGCACGGCGGGGGCGGCTCCGCCGGGGCGGCGGCCGCTGCGATGTTCCGGAGGAGCCCCGGACCGGCCCGGTGATCTCCGGTTCGGGGGATGCTCCACTGCGGTCTGAGTCCGGGGGGATCCTCTGAACCGGCGTCGGGATGCTCGGGGATGCTCTGTACCGGCGCCGGGGTGCTCCGCACCGGTCCGGGGATGCTCCGGGATGCTCTGCACCGGTCCGGGGGTGCTCAGGGATGCTCCGCGCCGGCCCCGGGGGTGCTCCGCGCCGCTTCGGGGATGCTCGAGGATGCTCCGCACCGGTCCGCGGGTGCTCGGGGATGCTCCGCGCCGGTCCGCGGGGATGCTCCGCACCGGTCCGCGGGGATGCTCCGCACCGGTCCGCGGGTGCTCGGGGATGCTCCGCGCCGGTCCGCGGGGATGCTCCGCGCCGCTTCGAAGGTGCTCGGGGATGCTCCGCACCTGTCCGGGGATGCGCGGGGATGCTCGATACCGGCCCCGGGGATGCTCCGGGATGCTCCGCCCCACCCCGCCCCGTTCCGTTCTGGGGATGCTCCCCGGGTTGAGTCGGTGGATGTTCCGTTCGGGTGCGGTGCGGGGCCGCCGCTGCGGCGGGTCGGGGCGGGGGGTGCGTGGGGGGGGGCGGTGCGGGCAGCCCGGGAGCCGCACGCCCCCCCGGTGCCGTTCTTATAGCGGCCGCCGCTCCGCCCCCGCGCCGCCCCCGGTAAACACCGCCGCGCCGGTTCTGTCAATGGGAGGCACCGCCCCCACCGGCCCATTGGCCGCGGGGCGGGGGGGGGACACCGGGCTCCGCCAATGGGCGCCCGCCGGAGAGGGGTTGCTGGAGAGAATGGCAGGGCGGCACGCCCCGGTACCCCCCCCGGTACCCCCACCTGAGCAGCACAGCACCCCCGGTACCTTCACACGAGCATCCCGGTACCCCGGACCTGCGCACACCCCCCCCACCACCCCGTGCCCTCCGGTGCCCACCCGGGGATGCTCTAACCGCTGCCGGTACCCGCCGCTCCCCCGGTCTGGGCGCCCCCCGGTGATCCCTACACCCACACATGGGCAGCCCCGGGAACCCCGCCCCGCGGCCCGGGCACGGCTCTGCCCGGTGGGGACGCTGAGCATCCCCCCGGGACGCTGCTCCGGGACCCCGCCCTTGCCGGGCCACCGGTCTCCGGGGTTGACCCCGCTCCCTTCCCCGCCCGCGGGGATCCCGGTGGGGGCTGCCGGGTGGGGAATTCGCAGCCCACGGGGCCGCCCACGCGGTTCCCCCGGCGCCACGAGTGGGGCCTTGTGCCTCCCCCCCCCCGCCCCCCATCCCCCGCCGCCGCCGCGGCGCCGCCCGGCCCCGCCCCTCCCGGACAGGCCCCGCCCCCTCGGCGGGCCCGCCAATGGCGCGGTGGCAGCGGCGGCCCCTGTTGCCCCGGAGACCGCGGGGCAGCCCCGCCAGAGGCCGCGCCCATTGGCTGGCTCCGCAAGGACGCGCTCCCATTGGCTGCCGCCGCCGCCGCCTGTTGCCGTGGTAACAGGGGACCCGAGCCGCCGGTCGTGGCCTACCCCGGGCGCTGCGGCCTGCCCCGGGACCGAGCCCGGCCCTCCCGGAGCCCCGTTTGGCCCGGGGATCACCACACAGACCTCCACCGCCGCCTCCCCGTCGCGCTGAGCCCTTGCAACGGGGCCTGCGGGCGGCGCCTGCCCGAGCCGTTCCCGCTCGGTGCGGCTGGGACGCCATGCGCGGCACCGGGCACCCCCCGCTCCGCTCCCATTCGATCCCGGCACCGGGCGCTTGCTCGGCCGTTCCCTCCCCACCCCCTTTCCCCGGGGCGGCCGCCGCGGGCTCTGCTCCCTCCCGGCCCCAGCCGCCCGGCGAGCAGCCGAGGCCCCGTCCCGCACAGGGCCGGCCTGGCCCAGCTCCCACCGGGCCCGGGCACGCAGACCGCGACCCGGTGGGTCCCGGTGGATCCCGGGCTCCTGCCGTGCGGCGCCGGGGCGGGGCCGGCAGGGGGCGCCCCTCCCGCGAGCGCGGGCCCCGCCCTGTCTCTGTACCCGCCCGCTGTTGCCATGGAAACCGGCCCGGGGCCGGGACACGGGGACGCGGGGTACGGGGAGGGGGGGGGGGGGGGATGTGTGTGTCTCCGGGGAACCGTGGGGTATTTGGGGGTCCCCGGGGGATGGCGGGGGGGGCGTGGCAAAGAGGGGGAATCCCCGGGGTGCAGAGGGGCTCCCAGTGGGACAAAGGATCGGGGCAGGGGGGGTCTCCCCATCGAGGATGGGCAGAGGGGCTTCCCGTGGGGCAGGGGGTGGGCTGGGGGTTCCCCGTGGGGCAGGGTGCTCCCCGTGGGGCATGGGGAGGCAGAGGAAGATGGGGTTCACTAAGGTGCCATAGCCCAGGGGCTATCGCTGCCTCCCTGCTCTGCCTTTGCACCCACGGGTGCTTCTCCGTGGGGCTCGGCCTCCTCAGCGCTGCCACCCAGAGCCTGGGCGGAGATGGATGCCCAGGGCCCGGTGCCCACGGTCGGGGAAGAGTTCAAGAGAACGGTAAGCGTCCCGTTCCCGCCGGGTTTGTGACCCTCACAGTGGGATCCGCTGCTCCAGGCTGGCAAAGGGACACCTGGAAGCCCCAGAGGGGTTGTGGAGGGGCATCGGAACTGTGGGGTCACATCAGAGGCGTCTCTGCGCCCAAACCTCCCCTGACTCCCCCGTCTTTTCTGTGCTACTGTCGTGCTGCATTTAGGATTACAGCAAATGGCAGAAGACAAAAGCAGAGGGGAGGAAATCTCCAGCCCGCAGGTTGACTTTGCCACCGCTCGCTGATGAGGACAAGAAGAAGAAAGGGGACAACAAGAAGCCAGGTTGGGAGAGATTCCCTTACACACCACCCTGCTGCCCCTGCCCACTGGTGCTGCTCCCACGTTAACTCAGTGCTTTCTGCTGCGAAACGTTCAGCAAAAGCCACGAGAAGAAAACTCCCCAAGGGGAAATGCTGAGAATAAAGGGGGAGAACTAGAAAAGACCAGGGAGCACTTTGTAGGCTTGGCTCCTGGGCTGTAACTGCGAGCGGCTTTTGCTGGGGCCGCAGAAGATTTGAATTCAGTCTCTCGGTTGTTTGGATTTCCCTCAGCCACATATGGCAGCAGAGAGTAGGTGCAAGGCGTTGAAACTGGGCTGTGAAATAAGCACGGGCCTCTTTTTCGTTTCACCAGTGGCATTCATGCCGGGTAAAAAACCACTCTTGCCTTCGGAGACATCACCATCCCAAGAGAAATACAGAAGTTTTGCTCAGAGGAAATTAGCACTCAGGAAGGCTGAATTAGCTAAAACCTTGGAAGAGATCAAAATTACCACGGTACGTGCAACAAATACCCAGTGCTGGGCTGTAGGTAGCAAATCCATACAGTTACCACGGCTGCCTTTATGGAGGAAATTCTAGCAGCCTGACTCACTCTTGCAAAATGGCATGTGTTTATTTATTAATACACTGGAGGTAATTATGCTGCTCTGCTTAATGCTGGTGAAATCTAACCTTGATATTGTCTACCGAGAAAAATTAAGAGAAACCAAGAGAGAGTCCAGACTGTAGCGGTAGGAAGGGTGAGATTTAGGAAATGTGACCTTTTGGAAAAGACTGTCGGTATCAGATTTTCTCAGTCTAGCAAAGAGAAGGTTGAGGTGGAGGACATGACCACAGCTTTTGAGTAGGTGAAAGATGGTTATGAAAGAGAAGGTGATCCCGCAGCTCATCAGGAGGAACGTGGGAGCAGGCGTGTGCTGTATGGGGGAAGCCAGAGTGCCTCAGCTGTGAGGCTGCTGCTACCACGGGGCAGGAATGCCTCAGGGACGGCAGGCGATGCTAAGAAAACTTGGGGCAGGTGGGACTGATGGAATCTGCAACACTTGAATCCATAAATTGCCGTAGAATCTGACCAATCTGAAGAAAAAATGCCATTGAGGAGCTGAAGCAGCGCGGTGCCCGCCTGGCAGAGACCAACTGCCGGCTGAGGAAGGACATCCAGCGCACTGATGACAGCACTGCCAGGCAAGCCAGGAGCCTGCTGCAGCAGTATGAAGGATTTCAGGTGAGGTTTTAGGGTTGACCAGCAGACTCAATTCAGCAGAATGCAGAACTTCCCATTAGTCATTAGTACCGCAGAAGGGTCAGGCCCCTTCCACCGCACCGCGTGTGCCTGGAGCATCCCCAGTCCTGGGGGGAGCTTTCCAGTGCCCAAGGACCCTGTGAGGTGCTCTTGTTTTGTGCCCATGTGTTCAATCTCTGAGAGCACCCTGACTGTAACAGTCCCAAGCAACAGTAGTCACCCCTGTAAGAGCCCAAATCAACCTTCCATAACGTCCTTGGCTCCAGCTGGCTCCTGAAGCACCACTCTGCTCCCCGGAGCAGCTCCCGCGCGCGAGCTGGCACCAGCCACAGCGGTGGATTCCTCTGTGCTGCTAACGCAGGCAGCAGCACGTGAGGGGAAGGTCGGGGATGGTGCAAGGGGACGGTTCAGAGCTCTGTGGAACGAGCAGTGACTGGATTTCTCCCTGGGCAGAGGGTGAAGGTGATGGTGCAGACCTTCTGTCAGAACCAGCTGGATACAGCGAGGGCAGAGCTGCAGGAAATGGAAAAAACAATGGAAAAGAATCTGGGAAGTGAGTTGCTCACGTTACTATGAAATGGAGTCTATACAATCGCGTTACCTTTGCTTTTCATCTTACTAGGTTAAAGACACCGTTTATAAAAATGGCAAACTATTCCATTTCTGAAAATGAATCCCGTGTGCTCCACGGGGATGATCTCCCCGTCAGCCTGTCAGGAGGGAGGGAGCCCTGTGACAGCCGGCAGCCGGTGCTCGGGGGGGAGGAGGGATCGCCTCCTCGGTCGCTGTTTGCACCGTCCCGTCGGGGCAGGATCTGGTCAAGGTGGTCTGACCCCGGGGGCGGCCGTTCCCACTTCCCGCAGGGTGTGACACCTCTGTGGAGAGAAGGGCTCAGGCGAATGGAGGACAGATACCTTAGCTCAGTGAAGAAGCGAAGCTCTGGAACCCCTGGGTTGAGATTTTCTGGTTTGACTTTCAGAGCTACAGCAGCAGCTGGATGAAGTCACGTCGAAGGCAGAGGTTCTCCGGGAGGAGCTCGGCGTCCTGCGGACCTACATCGATGGGCAGTTTCCAGCAGAAGCTGTCCAGATACTCCTCCTGCAGCGCAGCATCCAGAGCCTCAAGAAGCACCAGCAGGTGCTGAGACCTCTCCTTCCCTGCAGCGTCGCCAGGGAGGAAGGAGCAGGCAGGGGAGGAAGGAACACAATGGTTATCTTGCCTAACGCTCCTGTTGTTTCTGTGCTCCCTGCCGTCCTCAGGAGGAGATCGAGAAGACAGAAGAAATGGGGAAGGCCATCTTGGCGGACCTGGAAGGGAAGGCACGGGCGGAACAAGAGGCAATATTACAGAAAGTCGTGGAGTTTGTGTGACGCCCCAGCAAGGGGGACGAGTTGCTGGAAGCTGGGAGACAGGGCAGGCGCTGCCACACATTGCCCATCAGCAATAACACAGTGCAGCCAGCACCCCCGGAGCGACAGGGCAGCGCTGCTCCCCTCCCAGTGCTGTTCTGGAGCTGTTTGCACTGGGAGGGCACATGGGAAGCACTTCGGAGCTGCTGCTGTAGTCTGATGTGCTGAAATACTCTCCGACTCACTCCTGAGAGTTTGCCCTGTGGAGGTGAGTGTGCAGTGACCCAACATTCACCCTGCTTTTACGGTCCCTGTTTTATTACATTATTTAGGTAGCTGCTTCGCTAATTGGCTGTGACACTGCTGTGGCAACGCACATATGTTTGTAATAAATTCATGAGGAAATTAAACTATATGCACTACAGAGCAGGGACTGCTGTTGTTCTTCCCCAAAATGGGAGGAACTGTTGCACAGTTCCTGCTCCCATGATGTGCTTAGCACTTTTCCTGGGTTAGCAGCTTGAGAGCACTAAGAAAATATTTATTACTGACTCCATTTACAGCCTGCTCTGATGCAGAACTGCTGTGCCCTTTTACAGGTGAATTTGTAAGCACAGGTGATACAAGTTACCCAAGCAATATTAATAAGCTTTCCCTGGGAAACTGAGGTGGATCTTTTTTATTCCTCAGAAGCATAATGCGATCTCAATGGCAGTCTCTTTCTAGAGCTGGAACCCAAACCACGCTCGAGCAGAAATCATTTTCCTGAAGAGTGTCACATCTGGACACGGCCACCACTGGCACCTGGCAGGGTTCTCTGCTGGTGGTTACTGTGGAGTTTCTTCAGCTGGTTTTCTTCTCTTCACCCACACAGAAGATGTTGCTGCACCAGGATGGCCTGAAGCAGATGGTGATAAACAATCACGTTCTGCAACGTGAAATACTGAGGCAAAAGGAGGTGAGCGAGCTGGGGAAGAAGCAGGGCAGTGCAGCAGAGCCAGCCACCCTCAGCCCTTGCCCTTCACGAGGATTTTGTCTGCCTTGGTGGGGTACGTTGCCTTCCACGTCCACTGGAGTCAGGGGGCTGTAAGGACATCCTGAGCTCGAGAGTCCAGCAGGTATTGCAGGAAGCCTCTTAGGGGCTTGCTTGCACGAGGGACGTTTTCTAGCTCTGCTGTTTGCAAAATCTCTAAAACTTCAACTCCTGCTTCTATTGCAAAATAAAGAACTCTTAGGAATGTCATTCCTTCAGATAATTAAGGACCTGGAGGAGGAGATTGGCGAGCTGAAGACAAGCATCCAGACGCTCCGCCAGAGCGCGAGAGACCCACGAGAGCTGATCTTTGCTGACGTTCTTCTCCGCAGACCGAAGTAAGGCTGGTCAGTGGGCACACACAGCCCTTTTCCTGCTGCCTGGGGCTGCAGCCTCTTAGGCACTGAGTGCTAATAACCTTACCCCACTGTTTCCACAGACATCACTGTTAAACCCACACCCAGCCCGGGGTATAAACCCACAGTTACGCTGGGTTCTACTTGGGAAGATGGCCCCAGGGTCTCGTGGCCTTGCCTAAGAGCAGCTAGGAACTAGCCACAGCTCTAATACTGAGCCTTGGCCATATCATATCTCTGTTCTGGGCTGCCCTTTGTGCAGCCTGCAAGTGGAGATTATCACTGGCTGCAGGCGGGGCCGGCAGAGCTTTTCAGAACCTTTGTGCCCACACTGACTCTTACTTTATTGTTGTTTTCACTCTGCGGTTGGGAAACAGAACTGAGGGAGGGGGGCAGGCTCGCGAGGAGCATCCCTGTCGAGGCAGGTCCTGCCCATCGAGAGCCGCCTTGCTGGTGGTGTGAAATGGCACCAGTGCTCTGGGAGAACAAAGGCAGGCAGCCATTTTCCTAATATGTAAAAAAAAAAAACCAAAACAAACCAACCAAACAACAACAACAACAACAAAAACCAGAACAAAACACACAAAAAAAAAGAAAAAAACAAACAAGACAAACAAACAAACAAAAAACCCACACTGGCAGCATTGGCTGGCAGCAAAAAGGCAAAACTTTACCTTTCTCACTGCTCTTTCCCTGTCCCAGTTCTCCGGTAGCTAATTACTCCCTGAGTGGAGGTAGTGGGGAGTCCCCACTCCTGCTTGTGTGCTGTGCTGATACTGGATATAAGAATTACAAAGCGTAAGGTGAACCCTCACTTAGCGATGGTGGGGAGAAGGCCCTGCCAGCTGGATCACAGGAATACTGGGCTCTGCTCTCCAGGGACAGACCCAGGCGGGCCAAGTCTGTGGGCTGAAGCATACCCACAGCCAGCTGTGACGAGCTATTTTCCACCGTACCCAGGGCTGGCTGAAGGCCTCGTGCTGCCCCTCATCCCGTGGCAGCGGGGTCCAGCCCGGGACCGGACAAAGCACAGATGATTTAGAGCTGCCGAGGCGCCTCAGCATTCTGCGTCGTCCCCTGGCCAGGGGTACAAACTGGAGGAAAAAAACGGGTCCCGTGTGTTTAAATCTCGAGCGGGCTGTAGCCTGCAACCCGCAGTTGTGTGCAGCGCAGCGTGCGTACGCGCGTTTATTTACAGCAACTGCCTATACAAATTGTTCTTGGCACAGAAACGTCTCTGTTCACAGTCATTCCCTCCCAGCGCATCCCGCCGCTGCAGGTGCAGGCCGGCCCCTCGGCTCCCCCGCACCTCCCGCGCACGCCGGGCTTATTTGCCATGAAAATATCATCCCTTGGGATGAGCAGAGGCTGGCCCAGCAACCCGGGGGGTGGTACAGGGGACAGGAGGGGCTGGATCTCCTGCTCCGGGGCCCTGGGGTTTAGCTGGGAGCCAGGTATGGCTGCAGCGCTGCGGAGGCACGAGCTGGAGCAGGAGGAAAAAGCCTGGAACGTGTCAGGAGACAGCGGGGGGGGGGGGGGGGGGGGGGAGGCGAGCGGCCGCGTGATGGATTAGCGCAACTTATTTTTTTTTTTCCGAATAAAAAAAAAAAATGATAAAAAAAAAAAAAAAGGGAATTAATTAGACTCGACAGCTGGTGGGGCTGGGGTTACTGAGGGTGGCTGGGAGAAAAGTTAAAAATAGCAGGAAGGCCCAAGTGGAAAGTTTCTGTAACATCACAAGTCAGGCATTTGGTGCTTACCCGCCCTGACAGGCGGGAGCCCGTGCCAGAGCCCTCTCCGCCGTCCCTCAGCCCTTTCCCACTGACCTCCCTGCAACTTTTCACACGGCTTCACCAGCCCTTCGTTTTTTTCTAAGTAACCCTTTGTTTCCAAACTCTGGATTTCCTTCCTGAAAGAGCAAAATCCAGCACGAGCTGCTCTCAGCCTGGCAGTCTAAGGGTGCGTAGGGACTCTTGCTGGCCCTCCTTGGGTCCCTGCGTGCTGCTGGCAGCGCCCGGAGGAGCTGTAACCCCCTTGTGTATCCATTCCCGTCTGCATTTCGGTTTCCTCTCGTTAAAAATCCTCTTGCTTCATGGGGTGGATTTCACCGCAGCCTCAAGCCCTGCGCTGGGGTCACTGGATGCGCAGTTTGTCCCGGACCAAGACGGATGAGCGCAGCTCTGAGCAAGCCCAGCTCCCTGCGCTTGTCCCCTCTCTGCAAGAGAGCAGATGTACCTGGCTGCTCCGACGGGCTTTCTCTGCTTCTCTTTGTCTTTTGGGATGGACAGTGAGGGGCAGCTAATGTCATTCCTTCTCCCGCTCAGAGCTGCGGGGGTTACACCTGGCTCTGCCTCTCCGGGAAGGCCAGCGAGCACCGAGCCTGCCTCGCAGGCGCGAGCAGGTCTATGATGGGACTGCAGAGCAGGGCTTCGGTTTGGAGCTGATTTCTTTTGTTAGGCAGAAGTTAGTGGCCGGGTTAGACCACGCAAGGCGAGCCAAAAACCAAAATAATGCTGGGGTGAGCTGGAGGTTGGGCCGGGCTCTTGTTTGTGCCGAACAGGGGCTGTGCACAACCATCCTCATCTGGTTTTAAAGGGTTTTTTTCGCCTCGCTCCTCCAGCTGCTTGCTCTGTCCTGTGTCCCCAAACGAGTGTCTGGGCTGTCCCCACCGAAAGCTAGTCCCGGACCCTGGGGACACGGAGAAGGTGGCACGGCTAACCCAAGGCAGTGCCCTCTGATGACAGGGCTGCCGTGCAGGGGTCAGGACACCACCGAGCTCCGAGCGGGCTGCGCGGAGCTTCTCCTCCTCCTCCTCGCACCGAACCGGCTGAAGCACGGCGCCTTTATTCCTGCTCTTTGCTTTCCACCTCTTAACTCTCCTCTCTCTCTCAGGTGCTCACCGGACACCGAGGTGGTGCTCAGCCTCCCCGCCGAGGGGACGCGGCTCAGCTGATGCTCGCAGACCCCTTGCCCAGCGCTCAGCATTCCTCCATCCCAGCTGCCCTGGGGGCTCCCGGTGTGGTTATACGGTGCAGTAAAGGCGTTAGGATAACGCCAGAGGGGTTGGAGCTGAAACCGGTCTCCGTGAGGGGTGGCCCTGGTGCCACGAGGCCCCGCCAGTACATCCCAGTGTGGGACAGGCGGGTGTCCCAGCGCAGGGTCAGAGCGGTGCCGGTGCTCGGGCGGTTCGGTGCGGTGCCGCAGCACCCGCACGGGTCCGGGCTGACCGGTGGCTTCAGATAAAACCAGATCCTGTTCCCTCCCGGCCGGCCGTGCTTTTCCATCCCCCGGCTCTTGGCGACGGCGCTGCGGCCCCGGGCCGAGCGGGGCTCCAGGGTCCCGGCAGAGCCCGGCTCCCCTCCCCGGGCACCGGGCAGGCCCGGGCTCGGTTCGCTCCTTACTTGGCGAAGCGGCGGGGCCGTGCGCTGCTCCGCGCCGCCGCGAGATGGAGCCGGGCCGGGGCACCGGGGAGGGGGGGGAAACCGTGCCCCACGCAGGACGGGGTGTGTGGTGGATTCTTCCACCCGCGGCAGCGCATCCCGCAGCGGCGCCGCCGGAGCATCCCCCGCTGCTCCCCGGGGATCGAGGGGGGGACGCGCCCCGCGGGAGGAACGCGCTGTGCCCCGGCACCGGGAGCCCCGCGGGGACCTCGGGGACCGGAGAGGGCGGCCGGGACCGGGGCCGGTGCGGGCGGGGGTGTGTCCGGCGGGGGAGGGACGCGGCGAGGGGCTCCACCTCCCGGGGTTTAAAGCCCGGGCCGGGCAGCGGCGAGCCTGTCCCGGGGAAAGTTGAGCCCCGACTACCGTCAGCTCGGACGGGCACCGGGAACGACACCGGGAGGGACGGACGCGGCCGGGGGCTCTCGGGGCGGCCTCTCCCAGCCCCGCAGATGACCCTGAACACGCAGCGTGGGAGCAAGAGCCCGCTGCGGAGGAGGGCCAGCACCCCTCTCCCGCGGGCGGGGGTGCTGGGTGCCACGTCTCGGGGTGACCCCTGCCACCCCCAGCTCGGTCACTCTGCGTCTGAGCCGGGCAGCAGGGCTGCAGCACCCCGGGGCAGCTGGTCCTCCGACTCCTCGGGCTCCTCCGGCTCCTGGGAGCCCCTGTACCGCGTGGTGCTGCTGGGTGACCCCGGCGTGGGCAAAACCAGCTTGGTCAACCTCTTCACCGGCATCCAGGAGCGGGACCTGCTGGAGCAGCACGGAGGTGGGTGCCTGGTGGGGGGGCTGGTTGGGGCCCCCCTCACCCACCGCCAGGGCCTGGAGGAGGTGGCGGGGAGGCCGCTTGTGTCCGGGCTGCGTGGACGGCCCCGTGATGGGGAAAACCCGTGTGCGAGGCGGTGAGGAGCCCGGCACCGGGGCTGAGCCTCAACTACCGGGGTAACGCCGCGCCGATCGGCCTCTCCCTGTGTCTTGCAGAGGCCACCTACAAGTGCACGCTGTCCGTGGATGGCGAGGAGACCACGCTGCTGGTGATGGACACCTGGGAGCCCGAGCAGCCGGTACGGGGCTGGGGGCTGCGGGGACATACCTGGGGGGGACATTGTGTGGGCACTGCTGCTGCTTCGGGGCCTCTGATCTCCGTGAAGCTCCCTGGGGCTTTTCCATCTGTGCCCGGGGCTCACTGTGGAGCGGGACACGCACACTGGGCAAGACAGGGGTTGGGGGCACCTCTCCGACTGGCTCTTTGTCTGCTTTCCCCCCGGCGTGGGAGGCTGCCCACCGTGTTTTCACTGGTGAGGGCTCTCGTGGCCTGGCACCACGTGTTGCAGGAGCAGCGGTGTGGGCACGGGGTGCCCCTTGCACGAGGGGGTGTTGGGGAGGAGGAGCGTAGTGCCAGCCTGCTCCGAAATGCACGGAAATGCTTTGGGGCTGAAGGAGCCGACCGGGCAAATCCACGTGAGGTGGTGCCGCCAGCCAGGACACGTGCTTAAGCAGGGAGAGCGGTGGCCCCGAGAGCCTGGCATAGGGCATTCCTTCCCCAGCGCACAGAGGCATCTCCTGGGCAGCGATGCCAGCACCGCTGTCACCGCCTCCCTCGAAAAAACCCCCCCCCTTGCCTCCCTCAGTGCCGGACCCTGCGTTCCTGCTGGTGCCACCGGCCAGCGACCGGTCCCCGGGAGCGGGGACGGAGCCGGTGCTCGGGCTGCGAACGTGGGCACAGCACCCGCGTGGGCCAGGGCTGTATTTTCCACATCCAGCTTGCGCTGTCCTGAGGCGCCCCGGCACCAGAACGCCCCGGCACCGGCCCTTTATTTCCATTATAGCTTAATCCCACTGGTGCCTGGTTCACGCAGGGCGTGGCGCCCACGACACTGGCATTGTGTGTCCAAGGGCGGCTCTGGGAGGTGCAGCATCAGCCCCCCGAGCCAAGCTGAGCCCACAGCCCCCCTCCGTTGCTCACGGAGGAGGAAACTCTCAAACACCCCCCAAAATCAAGAACATTTGATTAATGGGGCTACATGTCTGCTCCCCACGACGCAGGGGCTGGTGGGGTGCCCTGGCAGGCGCCAACGGTGCCGGGGTGCTCTGCTGTCCCCCGGCAGTGGTCAGGGCTGCCAGGAGCCCCTGCAGAGCAGGGACATCTTGTTCCCCGTGGTGACATCTCGTTCCCCGTGGGATGGCAGGGTGAGGAGAGCCGGCGCCGCAACCAGTGCCTGCAGGTGGGCAACGCCTACGTCATCGTCTACTCCATCACCGACCGCGGCAGCTTTGAGAGCGCCTCGGAGCTGCGCATCCAGCTGCGCCGCGCGCGGCAGGCCGAGGACATCCCCATCATCCTGGTGGGGAACAAAACCGACCTGGTGCGGTGCCGCGAGGTCTCCGTTGAAGGTGAGCGGTGGTGAGGGGGCTGCGATCTGGCTGGTGGGGACCCCTCCCCCCCCCCCCCCAAAAGGGGGCTTTGTGCCCGGGCTCCCTGCCCAGCCGCTTCCCCCACGTCTGTCCCCTTGCCGCTGGACCCGCATGTGGCAGCGCCTGTCCCCCAGCGCCCCGGGTGCCAGCGGGGCCGTGTGCGTGTGTGTCCCCCCTCTTGCCTTTCCCTTGTAGAGGGCCGTGCCTGCGCCGTGGTGTTCGACTGCAAGTTCATCGAGACGTCGGCGGCTCTGCAGCACAACGTGGCCGAGCTCTTCGAGGGGGTGGTGCGGCAGATCCGCCTGCGCCGCGGGGGCAAGGAGTCCCGCGCGTGCCCCGCGCCTGGCCAGAAGCGCAAGGAGAGCCTCACCAAGAGAGCCCGGCGCTTCCTCGACAGGCTGGTAGCCAGGAACAGCAGCAAAGTGGCCCTCAAAGTCCGCTCCAAGTCCTGCCACGACCTGTCCGTGCTCTGAGAGCTGCCGCCGTCCGTCCTTCCGCGCACATGGGTTGGGACGCTCCTCTCTGCCAGCAGCGTGGCCGGTGGCTCTGCCGGGAGCCCTGACAGGGCCGGAGCGATGCTGAGGACGTGGAGCTGTTTTAACCAGTGCTGAGGGATGCCTGGGGTGCCCTGGATCCGGCCGCTTCCCCTCCAGAATGGGGGGACAAGTGGGGCTGGGTCCCTTGGGCTGCACCCGTGGAGCAGGTGGGACGGGCACCTGCATTTGGGGTGGTGGGATCCCGGATTAGCCGTGCCCTGGTGCGGGGCTGCCTGAGGGCTGGAGGCTGCCGGGAGCGTGGCAGTGGTTCCACTGGTGGTGCCCGTCCTTGGCAGGGCAGCAGGGACCGGCCAAGGTGGTGTCCATCTCGAGGACCTCCCAGAGCCAGGCTGGGGAGAGGGGTTGGGGGAGCACCGGCAACATCGCCTGGCACCCCCGGCCCCTCCGCACCAGGGCTTTGTGCCACATCTCCCTGGCACCAGAGTTTCTCAGGCTGAGATTTTTCTGCTGTCTGTACCGGTGCAATGGGAAAAAGCCCCGATCTGTAGAATAAACCGCATCAAGGAGGTGCTGGTCTCTGCTGGGTCCCCGCTGTGGGAAGCTGCATCCCGGAGCTGTGATTCAAGCCCTGTTCCTTGCAGAGGACCTGTCTCCTGCTCCGGCCAGGCCTCGGCAGGCTCCATCTTCACCAGCTGAAACATCTCGGGGCAGGGAGAGCCTCCCTGGAAATCCCAATTCCTCACCCGGCGGTCACAGCATCATCCCCTGCGCTGACAGAAACCCCCAGCCCCCCTGCACCTCCCGGCCAGCTCTGGAAAAGCCTCGGGGAAGGGATGAGCTGTGTCGAGGTGCAGTTTTCAAGCCCCTGAGCTCCGTGGCAGCTCCTGGTGCCCTGGGGAAGGGGCAGGGAAGCCGGAGCCGAGCGGTGTGGCACCGGGCCGGAGCGCGGCACAGCCCGGGAGGGATGTGCTTGGCTGCAGCAAGCAGCGAGTGACCCCGGGCACCCGGAGAGGCAATGCTGGAGCCGCGTGGGCTCCGCCGGTTGTTTTTAGGCAGTGCTGCCGGCGAGCAGCCGGGACGCCGCGGGGTAGCCTGCTCAGCAGCCCCGGGCCTGGTGCCAGGGAGGATCAGCGGGTGCCCTCTCTCCCCCGGGTCAGGTCGGGAGTTTCCGCTCGCTCCGCGGCTCGAGCGTGGGGAGCCGCCGGCCGGGGCTGGCGCAGCCGGAGAGGGGGTCACCGGCGCAAAGGGGGACACAGATTTGGGGGCAGCGCCCTGTGGGAAAACAGTCTCTCCACAGGTGCAGACCCTAGCGAGGGTTTCTCCCTGCCGGCTCTGTCCCCAGGACCAGGGAAGCGTGCCCAGGCTTTTCCCCGCGCTCCTTGGTGCCCGATGCTCCCCGGTTCCCGGTGCTGCTGGACGTGATGCTGCAGTTCACATGGCATCAGCCACAGCGGGGCCGGGGGCGAGTGGGGGGGGGGGGGCTCCCGGCTGCCGCCCGTTCCTCTCGCAGCTGCAGCCGGCGTTTCCCTGCGGCGGGAGGCGGGGAGGGGGGGGCCCACGGGATGGAAAGTTGGCAGCCGGCGGAATGGGGAGTGGAAAGAATGAGCTCAAATGCAGAAAAATGCGGCCGTGCTGGAGGGTGGGAGGAGAGGCCAAGGGGGGGCCACAGCAGGCGCTGGGAAACGGAGGGAGGAAGGAAGGAGGAGGCACTGGCAGGGGGGGCTGGGGGCTGCCTGCGGCCCCCAGTTGGGCCCACACCTGGGGCAGGTAGGGCTGGGGCCATCCCAGCGCCCTCCCTCCCAGTGCCCTCCGTCCCTGGCTGCCCATCAGCCCCAGTGCATCTCCCCCAGTCCCACCTGCTCCCCAGCTCCATTTGCCCCTGTGCCATCCCCCCCTCCCAGTGCCGCCAGTCCCAGTTCTGCTCCCCCCCCCCAACCCCGGTGACAAGGGACCTCACAGGCTGCCCCAGCCCCGCTCAAACAGGCTGTGGAGACGTGACTACTTTTTTTTTATTTTTTTATTTTTTTTTTTTTTTTGGCTCAGTTTCCTCAGTCCGTGCACAGGGACGTCCCAGCGGCAAAACCCGCTCCCACCCGGCAACACCGCACCGAGCGCCGGGGCCGAGCCAGATCCACGGCTGGACCCCACGGCACACGGAGGTGGATGCTGACCCCAACCACTGCCCCCTCCTCCTCCAGACCCCTCGCCTGCCCCCCACGAGCCCCCTGGTCCCCCCCCCATCCGCCACCAGCAGTGGGGAGGGGGGGAGGCAGGGAGGGGAAGCGTCGCCCTTCATCAACAGCTCCCAAGCCAAGGTGGGGCTGAGGGGGCGGGTGGGCACCCAAAAGGGTCTGCAAGGGGCTGGGTGGGGGGGTCGATCCGGGGTGGGTGGGTGCGCTGCCTGCGTGGCTGCCCACTGCTGCCCGTCCTCCTCCTCAGCGGGGCAATCAGTGGGGGGAGAGGGCAGGGGGCCAGCCCCACGGAGAAGGGCTCCCGGGAGGCCCGTGCGTCTGCCCTCCGCCTGAAACACGAAACTATGAATCACCCCCGGTCCAGAAATAGATTTAAAAAAAAAAAAAAAAAAAAAAAAAAAAAAAAAATAATAAAAGAGGAAAACATTCTAAAAAACATTAGAAACCTGCTTTTTAATCCCTGCTGTGCTCCCTTCCCCTGCCCACGGCTCAGATCTAAGCGCGGGGCAGCATCAGTTTATCTTTATCTTCGCCGGTGTCGTTGCTCCTCGCCCCGGCGAGGGCGATGGGGACGCGCAGCACCGGCACTGGGGAGGAGGAGGAGGAGGTTTGGGGGCACAGCCAGGCTGCCAGCGGCTCGGGAAGGGATATTCCCGAGGAAAACACCCACATTTCAGCCCGTTTCCCGGCAGAGCCCCGGCCCCAGCCCAGCACCGGGGAGAATTCGCGGCCGCCCACGAGGCGTTTCCCCCGAGCGCGGTCGCGGGTGGGCTGGGGGGGGGGTCCTGGGGAAATGGGGAAGGAAAAGCTGGGGCTGGGGAGGGGAGGAGGGTGGGCAGCCCCGATCCCCCCCACCGCAAGGAGCCCCCCGGGACCGTCCCCAGCGGGGTCTGGGCGGGGAGAAACCGCTCCCGAACCCGCTGACCCGTAGCCCGGCATCGCCGCCGCCGCGCTCCGCCCCCCCCCCCCCATCCCCCGCCTTGCCAACACGGCGTCCCCGCGGAAACTTTGGGAAAACGGGATAAAACCGGGGAAAATCCGGGACCTTGCGGCACCCGAGGGGCGCGGGAGGGCGGCGGGGGGGCCGCTCCACCAGCACCGGAGCGCAGCCCACGGCCCGTTTTTTTATTTTTTATTTTTTATTTTTTATTTTTTATTTTTTATTTTTTATTTTTTATTTTTTTATTTCTTATTTCTTAGATTTTATTTTATTTTTTAATTTTTAAATGTATTTTAAAAATTTTTTATATTTGTATTTTTAATTTTATTTTTATTTTTTATTGTTTATACTTTTTTGTAATTTATTTTTAATTTTTTCTTTTTTTCTTTTTTTTATTTTTGGGGGGGTGTGGGGTGTGGGTGATGCCGGTACCAGGATCGGGCCCCGCCGCCGCGATCTCGGTTTCCTAGCAACGCGCTGCCGTGGGGAGGGAGCAGGGGCGTGGCTAGCGCCGGCGCCGTGACGCGCTTCCGGCCGGCAAGGGGGGACGTGTCGCTGGCGCGCGCGGGCCGGAAGCGGGGGGGTCCGGGACGGGGGGGGTGGGGGGGGGGAGCAACCGCCATGGAGGAGGCCGCGGTCCACAACGGCAGCGCGGCCGGGCCCGGGGCTGGCACCGGCACCGGGGGCTCGCCCGCCGCCCGCCCGCCCGCCACCCCCGAGGGCATGGCGCTGGCTTACGGCAGCCTCGTCCTCATGGCGCTGCTCCCCATCTTCTTCGGGGCGCTGCGCTCCGTCAGCTGCGCCAAGAGCAAGGTACCCCCGGGGCGACCCGGCCTTCCCCCCCCCCCCCCCCCCCGCCCCGCACCACCACCCCCCCAAAAAAAAAAACCCTGCCCGACCCCCCCCCGCACCCGGCCCCTCTCCCCGCGGCGGGGCGGGGAGACCTCAGCCCCGTCCGGGTAAATTCAGATGCTGCGGAGCTCCTGGCAGCCCCCCCAGAGATGTGGCGCTGGGGAGGGGGGGGGGGACACACACACACACACACACGGGATTCGAGTGCGGCTTCACCCCCCACCCGCACCCCCCCGCCGCACCGGGGCTGGTCCCCGGGGTGCTGCCGCGCTCCCCGGCCCCACACCTCCCACCTGGCCCGAAAACCCTACCAAAGCTTCGGAGCCCAAAGCTCAGGAGGGATTGTTTTAAACAATCTGATTTAGTACTGTTTTTTGTTGCTTTTTTTTTTTTTTTTTCAAAAAAAAAAAAAAGCTCCTTGTCCATCCTTCTGCCTTACTTCAGGGGTTTCAGCTGATTTTAGTGGCATTCCTGGCAGCCCACGGCATTGGGGTGTGTGAGCGGGGCTTGCCCGTGGTTTGGGGCAGGGGGGGATTTCTCCTCGCCCACGCCGCTCTTTGGGCACTTGTTTCTGCACTGCTGTTGCCCAGGATAAGCTGATTTTTTTTTTCCCCTCGCGGCATTGCTTTCCATTAAAGGCTTCCAGTGGCATGCGCTCTGCCTGGGCACAGGTGTCTCTGTGAGATTAGACCCCTTGGGCAGGGGCGAGCGGGCAGCTCTGCCTCTCCTCGGAAAGCTAAAGGTCTCTCGTGGGAAATGGCTTGAAAGGGGGGGTTGGTTCTGCCGGTGCAAAGATGTCTCGGAAGGCAAAAGCGGGGTTTAGAAATCCGGGGCTTTTGAGCACAAAGGAGCACCCCGAGAGCGAGGTGAGGGGATGAAAAGGCGATGGGAGCGAACCGTCGTTCGGAGGGTGATGGACATATGGTGTGCACAGATGGGGACGGCCGGGCGTGAGCGGCGAGGGAGCCCAGCTCCCCTCTGGGCAGGGGGAGAAAGGAACAACGCCAGCGCAGGCTTTATTTTTTTTTCTGTTTTCTAAGAGGAAAAAAGCAGTACATTGTGGCAGCCCTTGGAAGGATGAGTGCGAGGTTTGCTTTTTCCATCTCTCAGGCTCTGCCTGTGACACAGCCCCACCTCCGGGAATAACGGGGGGGCCAGTGGGTACCCTGCCCCTCTCGGAGCCCCGCTCGTTGTGTCTTCACCTCCTGCTCGGGTATGAAGCCAGAGCAGGGGCTGATCCACTCCTGTCCTCTCCTTCCCTCCGCAGAACTCCTCGGAGATGCCAGAGACCATTACCAGCCGAGACGCTGCTCGTTTTCCCATTGTTGCCAGTTGCACCCTTCTGGGGCTCTACCTCTTCTTTAAAGTAAGTGCCCGATGCCAGCGGGCGCGGGAGCCGGTGCCTGCCGTCCTCCCCGCCTGCTCAGGAGCTCCCAAGGGGGACCGACTCAATTTTCATCTTACCCTAGTTGGGAGCCCTTAATGTTGGGACAGAAAGTGTGTAAGGCTGCCTGGCTGGAGCTCTTCGGTGTCACCACACAGGAGGACGTCAGTTCTCACCTGAACTGTCTCAGCTTGGGGGAA